AGGGGCTGCAGCAGGGGGAGAGAGGCTTAAAGGAGACCTAATGAATTCACACACACACACTCACACACTCACTCACACACACACACACACACACACACACACACCCACACACCCACACACACTCACACACACACACACACACACACACACACACACACACACACACACACACACACACACAGTAAAATGGGAATTCAATCTGTTGACAAACATCTGGTTGTGATTATTATAAAAAGTGCATGTTTTGGTTCAGTGCAAATATTCTCTATACGTATAAGAGGGGAGCAGGTATGCTGCATTTACCCCAACCAGGCTATAGCAAATGTTATATTTCAGGGAAAGTTCACCCAAAAGTATTCACTCAGTATCTACTCCACAAAAGAGCCTTGCAGCCAAATCCAACACAACTGAAGTAAACGGAGACAGATTCTCCAAAAGTAAAAAAAACAAAAGACAAAACAGAAAATGCGTCCATACAGCTCCTGTGTAAATGACACCACGTCAAGTCTAACTTGAATGTCAGGGTTTACGGACATTTGGATGACACCACAGGAGCACGATGGAGGCATCTTATGTTTTTTTTATGTTGTTTCGAAGAATCAGTCACTCATTTCTTCAATTGTATTGGATTTGGCTGCAACGCTGTTTACCCCTGAAACCCCCAAAGTGTTTTGTGGACGCAAACACTTCACCCATTGGCACAGTGGTGAGTAGATAATGAGGGGATATTTCTTTTGTGGGTGAACTATCCCTTTAATATGTAATGTGGTGTCATGTATCATGACATAATTTCACTTATATGAAGAATGATTGTATGATTTGAATAAGATATAGATTGTACATCTAATCTTATGGTATGTAAACTACACTATACAACATCATTCTCTGGCTTACTTGTGACATCAGGATGACATCATTCCCACCAGATGGCCAAATACGATTTGCTTTGGGTCGTGTCTAGAGTCTGTAGAATCTATATTCCCACATCTGTACACACACACACACACACACACACATATGTTTACATACTCTAAGTTGCCACACTAGCCTCACTTAGCCAACTGCTCCCCCCACCATCGAATATTACACTATGTGTATGGTCATGCAGGTGGGGAACAACTAAGTACAATTACTTTGTTATTGTACTTAAGTACATTTTTCATGTATCTGTACTTTACTTATGCGTCGTTTTGTGTTTTTTGTGTGTGTGTGTACATTTATCAAATATCTGTATCCGCTGCTGTGTTGTTCTGGGCCGACCTTGTTTGTGTTTTCCAGATGCTGTCTGTCTTCGGGACCAGGCAGACTACCCTCCACACCGCTGACTGTCTGCTGGAGGCTTTCATCGGAGGTAGTCATGCTGCCAGTTGGTTGGCTCAGCTCCACTGCAGGCTCTGGTGTAGAAGCGTTCCTCGTTGCTTCCATGACAGGATGCTTCTTTTACAGGGTGAGGTTTTTGGCCCAACCCACAACCAGGAGAACCAGGTGTTGATTTCGGCCTGACCTCTACCCCTGTGGACACGCCTGTCCACAGCTTTTTTAAAAATCTGTCGCCCATTTTGCCATCTTCACTGTTGGTATAGCTACTGTTTTCTGCCTTTGACACAGCTGAGGCACAGTCTGCTTTCCTAGACCTGCAATGAAATTTAAAATGAAATAAAACACATACTTACACTGTTGTCATTTTGTTTTCAAACTGTACGGGAGTAACCTGGCTCGTGTTCCACGTGTTCCCCTTAAACCTCTTGTGCACAGTCACCGCTTCACGTCTTCACAAAGAACTCACAAAGCCTTATTTAAGAAAATTGTAGAACATTTTATTTCATTGACAGTACTTCAACACTTGAACACAGAATTCATCTTTCCCTGTGTTTTCAAGGACTTAAGACCACAAATTAACCAAACATAAGGCAAATGTGCATGTCAAACGTTCCAGGTCAGATGAGAAAAGAAGAGTACAATCACTACCGCTGTATGCTCAAAAACACTTTGCACACAGCACGAGTAATAATTCACTTTTGACGACCAATCTAACATTTGTGCTGCCCATCGTCAAAATATTCTCTCTTCATCTGTGAGATGATGTCATCTACAAGGAACACTTCCACATTTGGGAAACCGTCTTGTTTATTGATTGAATCGAAGCAAAATGAGAAGCTACAGATGAAACCAGTTTCATCTGTGTCTGCTCAGCATTGAAACGCTTCGTCCATCTGACTAGCTAGCAGCAAGCCACAAACTGCTGTGGTACTGTCACAAAGTTGTGTTTACATGTTTTGTTTGCATGTCTAATCTTGTATATGTAAAACAAGATAAAGAACAATTGTTGTTGAATTGCTCAGCTCATTTGTGACATACAACAGGAGCAGTGACAATGTGCAATAAGGCTGTCGAGTTTTATAATGTGACATTTACCGGGCCCTTTAAATCCCAAATGAGGATGAATTTTATTTTCACCTTTGAAAGAATATAATGAAACCGTAAGCTCTTAAATGTTGTAAAGGCAACTTGCCCCTTTGCTTTTCAAAGCATATGCCAATCATGCCTTCACTATACAGATATGAGTCTCAAAGAAATGATCTTGTGCAAACAGGTCATTGATCTTGAAGTGGACTTTAGGGGCTCTGTAGAAATTCAACAGCTCAGACGTTGAAGAGAGAGTAAGTATTCAGTGTGTAACAAACTCAGCTAATGTTGTTCTCAGCTCATGCAAAATAGCGTAAACTAACTAACCTCTGCCAAAAAGGTTTGTTTATTTAAATTAATTATTTATTTAAAGCTAGTAGACAGATGACCCTGAAACTTTGAAAGGATGTGTTATGGGTCAGAGAAGAACCCTTGAATATTATTCACGTTCTTTAAGATCGTAAGATATTTTTAGACATTTTCAAAGATTTCAAGGGAATAATTCATGAATCGTGATGTGGGGGACTGATTTCTATAAGTTTGTGCAATTTAATGCAGATGGTTGAATTAAAGGGGACTGTTGTTGGAGGAATGCGCTCTGCTTATGTCTGGGCCACACTGGCTGCGTGAGCGGCACATGTTCGTCACAGAACATCTTCCTTTTCGTTTCCAAGCCCATGTTAACCGTGTTGTCACACTTCTTGTGAGAGCAGCATGTCTCAGGTTCACCTCCTGCATGGGCTGCGCTGCTCTTCTAGATCCTGATTTCTGCACTGCATGTCGTTCACAGCAAAACAGTGAAAATGAAAAAGCAGCAGATCAGCAACACAGTCGCCACATGCTGAACACACACCTACTGTGGCCCAGGCCTTGCATTGTAATGTAGACTTCATCTATAGACCCCAGGACTGACCCAAGACTGATAGCTGAAAACAAGTATACATGGATCCACTCAGGTTAGATACTGTATATGGACATGCAGCTGTACACTGGGATAGTACTTAAATCCTGGTCATATGAATATAGTTTGGACCTGGTGTGACTAGTTTTGGATTCCCGGATTTGTTAATAACTATTCTGTTGAATAAACTCAGCTGTCCTGCAGAAGTGACTCTTGAATTGATGTCACGCTAAAACAGCTTGTGTTTTCAGTCTTAGCTCTAAATGTGTTTACAGAGAAGTATCCAGTATCAATCTTCTGTGACATAAACAAGCACTGATTTGTCCCAAACTGAAAGTGTTCCTCAAATATTATGGCACAACTCGTCTACGCACACCGACAAAAATAACCATTCAGATGTCGGTTAAAGCAAATCTCAGTCTGGTACGGCATTTAAATGAAGCACAAGGAGTCCACGTTTTTATCACTCAAAGAGCACATGTCACTGCTGCACCAAAAATAATACAGAGAACATCTAACATAGTCTTTATCAACCATTAGTATTATTATTATTATTGTTCTTTCCTAGGGTTGTGTTTTTTGAAACAGCCAACACAAAGGGCAGCATTGTGCCAGTTCTTTAGCAACAATGACCTGAAGATTAACACCTTCCACAGAACGGACACAGGGGGAACAGTAGACCTTACACCTCATCTTAAGGTTGCTAAAATGCATATGAATCTATTTTGGAAAAAAAGAAGACTTCACAATGAGAGTGTTATACAGAAATACTGCCACGATGACTCCAAAGGATTTCAAAGGACAAATACTGTGACCATCTGGGTTCCGCTTACAGTAGATAACATTNTTGGGGAGGAAACGGGCAAAGGTGCACGGACGGGTTTTGGCAGTGATGAAATAAGGATTTGTTAAAAAGAGAAGTTGTAGGTTGGTCGGGGGGGGTGGTACAGTGTTCACTTCTTTTCGGAAAAGTTTGAAAAATTTGGATTTTAAAACAACCAGCTATAGAAAATAACACGGGGCTTCACAAATCAAACAATAAAAACACTACATCTCTTATTTTTACTGTATGCAGACACGCACACGTATTGTCATATTTCCACGTATACGGTACACTAAACCACGAAACAACGTTCAGGCGTTATTACAGAGATACTGTGGCTTACATTCACATGGTTTCTCTGAATGGGTGAGGAGTGTATGCTTCCTGTGCTCCACAGATGGCGGTGGGGGTCAGGTGGGGAACTACAGGCAAATATGGAGGCACATTCCTCTCCTGAGGCATAGGGGTAAGGGAGGACTTTTCTTTTTTAAGACTTTTTCCTTTTTTTTTTTATGACAGACTCTCGCACCTCTTCAGCAAGGAATCCGGGGGCCTGGGGTAGTAGCCGGTGGTGCAGGGCTTGTCAGGAGAAAACCTGGGGAACTTGTAATCCAGAGGGAGATCTAGAAAGTGCAAGATCAAACAGGAAAGTCAACTGCAAGTTTAGGAGTATGTGTACAAGCTGCCCGCACGGTTAGCTTCCCAAGAGCAATGATTTATTAGTCAGTGGAAAAGCACACATTGTTCTAAACAGCTGGTCCAGAGAATCGCCATTGTTTGATCTTTAACTTCTAAAGAGAAAAGTCTGCTAAACACCGATGGTTCATTTCAGAAAAAGATGCAACACAGTCACTGTGGGGAGCCGCGGGCTAATCCTTCCAAACACCCCCCTCCCAAAAAAATAAAATAAAATAAAATAGAAGACATCAGAACTGAAATTTCCTTGAAACTCCTGAGAACAGTTGACAACAACAGAAGACAAAGGTGAAAGCAGAGCTACAAGGTTCTGTGAAACTGGGTCAGTTTCATCTAAATTCAGACACAACAAATGACCCCAGTGTGAAAACAGCTCTAAGCTCCTCATTATATGGGAGACTGGCACCGTTTCCCCACATGCTGCTCTGCAGCAGAGGTGTTCTGCAGCTCTTTCTGACTCCACATCTGTGTCTGGTCCAGTCGTTGTTTTCACTCAAGTGAGTGTTTCTGTGTTGAAACTGAAAAATGGACAGAATGTTTGATGTGGGGACAGATTTTTAACCACTAACATTGTAAATTCAGATTGTTCTTCCCCGTTTGTACTTAATTTATTTGATTCTCATGCTCTGAGAGCCACATGTGTGTTTTTAAAGGAAAATGCTGACAAACAACTTATTGGGGTCTTGTGGAAGAAATTAAAAGAGACTTTTTGGACAGCGAGTATGTCATAAAGTCTATGCTACTGTATTTATCTGAACCAAAATTGTTACCTAAAGATAGATAAATGAGTAAATTATTGTTCCATGACATTATATCTAATTTTGGGCCTTTAGTAAAATACTGTCTCTGTCATTTCTTCAATGTTAAGTATTTCTGTTAGTATGTCTGAAAGCATTAACAAAATAACGTGATCTCCGCAGCAGAATTAATACGTGACATCCTGCCTGTCTGTCTGTCTGTCTGCTGAATCCTGCTGAGGGATTTGTTGTTTTGAATGCGTCTGAGCAGAGAATCTCCGGCGGCATTTTGTAAACTGTCGAGAAAGTCCGGACCTAATTCTCCAGAGATCCTCCACAGGACATGTCTGAAAACGGATAATGAAACCTTCCAGAAACTCATTTCATACAGCCCTTCACTCCTGAATAGATACATAGAGAAAACCGGTTCACTGTTTATCTGGGGAACAAAAGGTTTGTGTTTCAGTCATGTCTCTAGATTGGCCAAAAATACTTTGGAGTATTTCAAGGGTCTATTTTAAGCCCATTTTTATATAAGCCATATATTTTATACACTACTTCTGAACCACATTATCAATTATCATATCATCTCATTTATACGCAACACACAGCTTTGCCTTCCTGTAAATTCCTAGCTCTTTTTAAAAACTGGATAGAAAATAATTTTCCTCCAATAAACCCTGTCAAAATAGATCTTGCAACATTTAACTTGTAGCGTAAAATATGACCGCAACTAGTTCTATTTTATCAGGTTAGAAACACTGTATATGTGACAGATGCTAGTTTAAAAGACAACGAAGCTACACACATCTCTATTACTGCAGAACATTTAAAATGTCTTAAAAAGAAAAGACACTACTGACTGTGTCAAAGATATTTAATTAGCACTAAGAGATAGGATCGCCTTTATCTTTTTTTTTGTTGTTGCTCCCGTTAAGTGCATTTTCTGACACATAGCTACACAGCACAACTGTACAGTCTATAAAAGCTGTAATCTTTTAAGACCTGGTGATGCTCACCAGGTCACACATGATGTGAACATTCAGCCAAAGCCGAATCCTGCTGCTGTTTTACGTTCTTTAAATGAACACCATTCCTCAAAAAGTGTGTCCTCTCTTTTATCACATACAGTATTTTACATTTAAAGGTCCAGTGTGTAAGATTTAGGTGAAAAGGATCTATTGGCAAAAATTGAATATAAAACAATCCTAGTCATGTGTTTTGTTTAAATTGTGTGAATGGGCCATTAAAATCTAAATACGTTACATTTGTTCCCAGTCATTTCTTACTCCCTTGTTTGTTTGAGTTCTGTATTTGAATATAAGTTGGAACCTTTTGCTTAACTTTGCTTTACAAGTGTAAAGCTCCTTCAGATCATTATTTCGATCTTCTTTTTTGGGTTTTTAATCTCAGTCTCTGAACCTTTGCATGCATTTTTTTCTCCTTCCCCATACCTGCTATGTGCTCAACACTAGGAATGGCCATGGTGCTGTATTTGTGAATGCAGTGGCAGCACCAGGTCAGTTTCTGGCTCTCCTCGTCCCCTCCTCCACTTCTGTGTGCGTCGACAAAGTATGAGCCCCACTGGTTGGACATGGCAGAGGGTGACTTCATGCCTTGCTCCTGTTGAGACAATTGACACATGAACCAAACTAACTGTGAGTTCACATTCATTTTCAGGCAAGTCCAGACCTGAATAAAGTAAGTAGGAATTCTACCCTGAGCACAGGGAATACAGGGAGACTTTAAAGTGGCTTTAACCCACACAGCTTTAATGTTATTTTTTCCCAGAACTGCAGTGAATCATTATTTCTGAGAAATCCCCCACTCCCTTATTCATAATCAGTCATACAACTTCAATGGTATTTGTGACCACAGAGAGTTGCAATCGTTGTAAACAGGATGTGAAGAGAAGGATGTGATACGATAGAAACTTCACACGCCTTAAAGAGGTTAGAGCTTTGCACAATATCAGCTAAATCCTCATGTTGCATAATACAGACACTGCAAGGTGATATAAATCTGAAAAGCTGTTGTGAGGATTTGTCACAAATCTTCTTACTCATTCCACAAATGAAAGTCAGTCTGTCTGTGAAACACACATCTCACAAACCGTTCATCCTACTGGGTCTGAAGATTGTGTCGAAGTAGATCCATCTTGCATATGAACAGCACATTCAGTTTTATTTGATGAAAACTGACTATAATATCTTTACTGCAGAAGAACCAGGTGGGATGAACACAGTTTTCTAATTTCACTCCGTATCATAGACAGTTTAAAAATCCAAGGCAAAAAGATGGAATGAGACGATTCTGAAGAAGCTCCAGAGAATCACCACAGGCCAATCAAACCGGCCACTTAACCACGGCCCCTGCACTAGCGCAGCTACTGTAGCCTGGAGTCTCTATCCTAAAGTGGAGATGAGGAATGAACTACAGAGGTCTGGGAAAATCATTTCTAACTTCCTAAACTCTTCAGTCCCAGCTGATGCAGACTCAAGTGAGTGATCACTTCAGGACATTAAGCAGATTTCACATATTTTCATATATTTCTCCACATGTGCTCTGTGCACTAGTGCTTCACAACACCTGGAACAGATGTGTAAAACCAACACTCACCCCCTTAATGTGTCCTTTTTGCACCTTCCAGCACATCTTAAAATTAGACATGTGTCAACATGCTTGAGTTTACATGTCTCTCTATCACACCTGACTGTCAACATGTGCCCATAATACTTTCTGGGAGCTAATATATACATTTAGAGAAGTGGGCGTGGGGGTTTTGGTAAGTGGGGAGCGGGCTGCTAAACGGAAACAGCTGCTTCAGTGAACTTACCTCAAACTTTCCCTTTTTCTCCAGCGGCTCCACTTGGGCCTCATTACACATTGCTGCTTCGCTCTTCGGGATACCCTCCCCCTCCATTTCCTCCACTATCATCACTGTTTCCCACTTCCCGAAGCTGCTGGCAGGGAACATGTCTGATCTCATGCTATCTCCAAAATAGACTACCTGCAGGTAGAAGAAAAGATGACAGAGAGGACAGCTTGATTATTGACTGCAACACAAATGAGATTGCACAGAGTTCGTAAAATCAGAAAAGCTGGCATAACAGTTATGCCCCCCCCCCCCCAGGGTGAACCAGACACGATGAGACTGCAAAGCTCATTAAAACCCCGCTGACCATCACTTCTCCTTTGTCCCCCCCACGTCTGGAAAGAAAAGCAAGTTGAGGCAGGTTTCACTTGAGACGCATTCCAAAAGCAAAAGCCGCTGGTAGCTTCGAATCCCATTTCAACCACCTATTTCTTTCTGTTCCTCTGAATAAGAAAGGAAATGGAGTGAGTGGAGTGGAGATAGCTGGAGAAAAGACAGAAGTCTGCTGACAATCTCACAGTGAAGTGAAAGAGGCCACTTCACTTTTACTTTTTGCTGGGTTTACACCAACGACTACAACTGAAAAAGAACAAAACAGAAAACTGAAATGCAGTTTTCAGGCTCAGAATGATCACATTTCTATGGTCAAATAACCATGTATTGATGTATCATTGCTGTTACTACTACTACTACACTGTTGTTTACAACCTGTGCATCCTGATTACACAGGGCTCTGACGTTTTGTCTGTACGTCTTATCACTCACACGCCATTTGTGGTTCGAAAGACTTGCTCACCGTAATAATGGCTCCTCATCAACTACACTGTTAAAATAGTGGACAGAGTTCACAGTCCTGGTTCTTTTCACAAAGAGACTGTAAAGTGTAACTTTGGTGGATTCCATAGATTTAGCCTCAGATTAGCCTTGGATTAACTGTGGACTTTGCCCCCACCCCCCCCAATTCTTTTACAGTGAGGCTGCACTATAAAGAAATCACTCCACAGCTACTGCAGAGAGGAGGACGGATTCAAGCAAACTGATCATTACAGTCTTTAAATGTCATGTGAGTGATGCGTGAGGTTATGTGTGAAAAAGAAAAAACCCACAGACATTACAAGTCATTTGAAGTTTCAAGGTGTGCTGACCAATTCTCAATGGGTAATGTGTATAAACCATTTGTTTACTGTTGCATACACCCACTGGATTCCATTCATGTTTACACAGCATGTCAAGTGAAAATGTGTTACTTTATGCATCATAGGCTACATCTACACTAATATTTGAAATTTGAAAATGTTGTTTTTCTCTGTATCAGAAATAATCGCACATCACATGACCTAATAGGAAGCTAACTGTCTATGCTGCAGTTGGTTGTACAGGAAATGTCAGCTATGCTTTGCATTCAGGGCGAGTTGTCAAGTCATGACTGATAAGAATCAATTAGGAAATCAATGGTGACGGCGTGACTGTATCATTGTATCTAAAATTCTCCATTTCTGCCCGTTCAGAGTAAAACACAAGTGAAATGGAGCCAGAATCATTTCATGAAGTCTCCATTGTAGGGGCTCAAGAGTCTGAAGTGGGGTGGATACCAGATGTAAACATAGCAACAGTGATGTGTATTAAAACTAAAACATATCACTGTGAGAGTACAGAGAAGAATAGATTGTTGAATAATAGCTCTGAACTAAAACACTACTTTATTGCAGTTATATCGCATTTACAATATACACATCTGCATTCAATTCAGACTTATAATGGAAATAATTAGAAATATTTCAAGATGTTTTAGGACATTTTGATACTTTTGCAATTTTAATGAATCAAAAAAAATGTATTTGAGTTGATATATCACGTCACGTAACATGAGTAAAAGAAAAAACTTGAAGCTAGTAAAAAGTATGATACTAACCACAACTTTGGTCTCTCCTGCTGCTCAGAGCTTTGTATCTATAGGCACTCTAATCTGTGTGTTAGTCAAAATCTTTAGGATGAAGATATATGGAAGGTGCATCATGTAAACCCTTTGACATCACATACTGGGATGCCTCATGGTGGGTGTGTGTGTGTGTGACAGACATTAAACTAGATCATATCTCTCCACAGGAGTTGGACGGCCTTAAGGGGGATGTCCAGCATTCCAGTAGCTGCCTGTAGCTCCCTCCCCATCACAGAGCTGACGTGTGTCTCAGGCTGACCGTACCACATGTAAACAAACAGTCAAACTAATTATGGCAGCTGCGGGCCGGCCCGATGGGGAGGGGGCTGCGGGAATCTCATTTCGTTCCCGGAACTGGCCACAGTTGGCCCTTGAGCCCCTAAAAATCCCTGCACCTCTCATTGCTCAGCACTGCTGCCAGAGTCATGGGATCACTATAATAAATATTTACAGAGGCCCAGGATTCCAGCACAGAGGCAACATAATCATAAAAGACACTCATTGACGATGGATACAGTTACATTAGCCTGAACCACACTGAGCTCTGCGTGAGTCACGGCACGGTGAGGTGAACCAGACTGCACCATAGAGTTCTATCAGCTGGACAGACCGCTCTCTCTTATTGAACAGATTCAAATGAATTCCTATGTAATATGAATTTTACTGCCTGATACATTACCAACAAATAAATAGCAGGGGGTTCGATACATATAATCTGCAAATGCTTCAAGAAAGGAAAATCCAGTAGGTTGTTTTTATTTCTTTTTGTTTCAGACCACAGTGGAATATATTTAATAAAGATTACTCGAACTCTTTCTTAAGTTTTCCAGATTTAATTTAGATTAGAATGAAAAGTAAAAGTGATGTAACTCTGGTTATAGTTTTATAGTGACTCTCTCACTGGCAATGAGACGGCAGTGAGACCCCGTTTGGTTTAAATTGTATTCATCTTAAGCTGTGAAAGTTCTGCCAAAAGAATGAAATCATTACATATTTATGAATGCAGCTCAGACAGCATGACACATCACCATACTCATTTTTAGAACATTTGAAATAAAAATGACCAAAAAAAGAAAAGTTATTTGTGTTATTAGTTTAATTTCATCATAACTTCTGGTTTGACTTATTGTAGGGGGTTGTCTTTGACTGGTAGTCCCAGCTAGACTTTAAACTGTCAGCAAATGTTTTTCTTTTTTTCCCCAAGATGGCTTTGACTCACTGTGAAAGTGAAGTATCAGGGAAATTGTTGACCCGTAAAATAAAGTTTTATTTATTTTCAGCTTGCTAAATTAAAATTTGACTATGATTGTACTGAATTCAAACTCTGGTGCTGAGCGGGAATCGTAATCTTCCCTGAATGCCTCTATTCAAACCACTTGCATTAAGTCTTTTCAGGTGAAAGTGGAGAAAAGTGCAAACACTCAGAGCGCCTCAGGTCACCGTGGAGGAGTGTTTCAAAAGTGCAGGTTGATACTGAATTCCACAAGAGCTTTCTCCACGTGGCTGAGGAACAGAGGGGGCATTGAGCAGAAGGGAGGGAGAGAGGGAGAGAGAGAGGGGGGAGAAGGAGCTGTGGATGTGGATGATGTTGAGTATTGTTGGGTGGACTCAGGGGTTTGAAGATACAGCTCTGTATGTGCCTGATCTGGCAGGGTTTGTTTTAATAGTCATCATTTGTCTATTTATCTATTAGCCCAGGGAGGTACAATAATAGAATATGAGACACCACTCTGACCAGATGCTTCGCCATGACTATGTGGCGCACAAATGTAGAATACGACGTCCATAACTTTGAGCATGATTGCTGTTCAAGTATAAACCTGGATTTCGTGTGTGAACTGACTATAGCTGAATATACTCTGCTGCATGTTGAAGCAGCAGATGTTTGACATCTGTTTTTGGTATAGACCCCTAACTCCGACCGATGTCCAGTGTCCCTGCGTTCCGGGACAGCTACAGTAGAGTAAAGCCACGCGCCAAGTAGTAGCTGGTCCTTAGCCCTGCTAATGTTTTTGTAAATGTATGAAATGTTATGTAAAACATAAAAAATTTCAACTTTTGGTCTTGAAATGAGAATAATTCATGTGTGACATCTCAGGACTTATATGTCCGTGTGTACAAGTTAGTGACATCTAGTGGTGAACTTTCATGTTGCAGCTGAATATCCCCCCCACCACACTCTCCCCTTCCAAACATGTAAGAGAAACTGTGATGACTTTTAAGTTGTCATAAAACTCAAAAGGTTTTTAGTTTGTCCAGTTTGGACTAGTGTAAACAACATGGCGGTCTCCGTAGAGAGGACCTGCTCCTGATGGAAATATGAAGTATTTAAATATAAAAGTCCTAGGTTAAAGAAAACAACAATTTGTACCATTTAAAACAAAGACACTAGTGAAAACATCAATAGGATTATTTTATATTCAATTTCTGCTATTAGATCCCTTTCACCAAAATCTTACACACTGAAACTTTAAGAAAAAGCCAACCGTGGTTTTAGCTTGTCTAGTGGAGAGAGTACATAACAAGCTTGAGTATGAGGGGATTATTTGTCCTGTTTCATCAGTGAACTCCCAGCATGCTGGCACACAGAAGCCTTGTCGACAGTCATGCCAAGGGCCACGTTCCTCCTCTCCGTCACACCGGTGTGAATCTCCCTGAGCTGAGTTATCGTCAAGCTCTCACCTCTTTCAATCTCTGCCAAAACCAAAGTTGGAGTCAACCTCAAAGCGCGTCGGAGATGTCCTTCAGCCAGACGTCTGGCTTCTTACTCCTGTGATATACGAGGTGGTGGGCCTACCTTGGGCTCTGGTTTCCCCGTCATGGTTTTCAGCAACTCGTGGAGGTGGGGCCAGTTGCCCTGGGAGTACCACCCTGGCTTGTCCAGCAAAGGTAGACCCTCTTTCTCCTCCACGTCGTTCACTGCAGGAAAGGGAATAAAACCAGACTACATGGTTGAAGAAGTTTGTCCCAACAGCCTGTAGCTACATGACCACACATCCTCCAGTCATTCAGCACCAAAACCTCACCACAGCATTCAGCAGCAGGCTCACAAGGAAGCACAACAGCAGCAGCACCATGTGGACAGTGATGCTACTTCCAATACAACCACTACAGCTGTTCCTATGATATGAGTTAGGACCCCTCAGGGATCAATAGGTTAAATCTCAGGCATTGCAACAAGATTAACGCAACAAAAGAACAGAACATTTTTAAAAATAAAAAATACGCTGATGTCATCTCAAATTAGATCCTGTGGCGTGGAGTTGAAAATCTGTTTGCTGAACTAAACACAGTGTTGAACCAAGTGACCCTATTATGGGTAATGTGTCCAGCGTTTTTGGAGCTTGACCCCCTCCTTGGGATTAAAAGTCAGGATATATTGGCCTCTGCTTTTTCTTTTTCTTTTTTTGTGAGTTGCTTAACTTTATGCAAGCAACATTTGTTTTTCATTTATTTCTGCATATTGGTATTTAGCCTCCATGTTAGCCAGAACCAGATTTGTATTCCAAAAGACTAGTTGAATAAAAACCATATTCACTTCCTTATAAAAATCTTTTATCTATTATAGCATTATGTGTGGTGAAGCAGTTTAAAGAATGACTTTTAAATGTGGAATGTCCTTGGCTGTCATCTAGGAATCAATAGAGCAGCTTCTCTGGAGTAGGTAATTGCTACTCTAGACAGGCAGTGGTCTTTACGTTGATTGACTGGTATTTAAGACAACAGCAGCAGCAGCAGGATTAAAGAAGCTCCTCATCCTCACAGACAAAACCGTGGTGTTCTTAGGAGTAAAGGGCACCGCAGGTTCAAACTGAGGTTAAATATGCTACAAATATTGTGACAGGAGAGAGAGAAGGAACAGTGATGAGCACATGCACATATGGGAGTGTACACACACACAAGAGGTAACAGCTGTGAGGACACTGGACTTTAAGAGGAATGAGTGGTATGTGGTCTGGACTTCAGAGAAGTGGAAACTGCTGCTGAGATGAACGGCTGCCTTGAAGACGGCCTGTGGCATTTTCACCAAAATAAAAGAATCAGCTCCTGCAGTTATGAAATAAATTATGTCATATTATTATTACAATTTGTCTTTTTGGATGACTATCTTGCACATTTCAAATATTCTTTACGCTGCATACTGTGAACTTTTACACCATTTAAACTAGTTCATTTTTTTGCACATTTCTGCACAAAAGATGTACACATCAATAACATATTCTACCTTTTTTTGTATATGTTTTTTTATAGTCATTTCCTCTTTTGCTTCTTCAATTGAAAGAATATTGTGAAAATCAACTCATAAATAACCAATTACTGTATAAAGCAAAATCCTAAAAAACTAAACTAGTGAAAAACAGATGTACAATGGCCCTGAAGTGCAAATCACAACAACAAATGAGAAAACGCAACAATAAATCCAGAGCACTACCCAGAACACTGGGCGGCTGAGGGTCGTCCTCCAACCAGAAGGTCGGCAGCTCTATCCCAGTCTTCCCCATCTGCATGCAAGATGCTAAACCCTGAATTGCCCCTTATAGAAACAAAAGTGCTGCTGATACATGCACTGTATGAATGTGTTGGAATGGGGTCAACTCTAGTGTTTTTGTTCAGATGTGATGGCTCTCTCTTTGTTTTCCTTTATCCTCCTCACATCCAGATGATGACAGAACCACCAATGGCACACTGAGGGAAGTTTTACGTTAAATTGAATTTGGTACATGTTATATGTGTTTTATATAATTTTGTCCCTCCACCTGGACTCATAGCAAAAGTCAGTGTGCTGTACCAGGTTTAATACAAAGCCATAATACATTTAAACAAAAGCGCTCGCAGATACAAGACGAAGGAGAGATGATGAGACACTTAACATAATGCAGCGTGAGGTGTCTGTGGAGAGCAGCAGAGAGAGAGAGAGACTGATCGGACTGCAGCCTAAAACACAGTATGTACCACTGAGGCTCCAGATCATGCTAATCAGTGACACACAAAGCAAAGAGAAACACTGATTAGTACCAGATCAAACCCAAGTGTTTGAACATGAACACGTGGAGACTAAATGTGCAGACTGTTTTAAGGCTGAGTTTGCTTAAAAATAACTACTTGGCACAAAGGAACATGGAAAAATTATCTTTATCTTTATGCATGAGAATAATAACTGTCATATAAATGAGAAACTTGGTTTCCATAATCAGGATAGGGGGTTAGAGAATCCTTATTGATAGGTTATAACTTTTTAATGTAAACATGTTCTCCGAATACCTGCAAAACCTGATTCCTCTAGGTAACGTGGCTTTTTGAATACATGTAGGCGGTCTACCCGAGGGCATTTTACCACTGTCGGAAAGACTTTCAAAAGATGATTGCCAAACCACAAACCTTCTCCCTCCACAACAAAGAAGCAGCAGCTCTACTCTGAGCTCCCTCCGGATGTCTAAGCTCCTCACCCTGTCTCTGAGGGTGGGCCCAGCCACTGTATGGTGGAAACTCAGGAAACCCCTTATCAGGTCACTCCCCAAAGTTCTGTGGAGTTGGCTATGGCTCAGGAGGAAGAGTGGCTGTCCACTAAGCAGATGGTCATTACTGTGAAGTGTCCTTGTACAGTACAAGCACAGTTGATGGGTGAATGTACTGTAGAAGTGGTTAAATGCAATTTAATGCAGTCCTAATTCCAAAGTTCATGACCATTGCTGAGGGTTGACAGACTGACTGGGAACTCTAAAGCCTCAACTTCCAGCTCAACACTCTTATCATCATAACAGTGCAGTATTGTTGGCATTCAACATTCAACAACCAGTTCTAACACCACTTTAATCCTCAAGTTAAATGTTTTATGAAAGGCCCAGTTTGATTCCTGATGCCCTCCACATGAAGTTGATCCATACGTTAATTTGCTAGAGCGACATTCCTTGTTCAGGATTGCGGGGGCTCGATTCTGTCCCAGCATGCACTGAGCACAAGGCTGGGAACACCATGACATGTTAGCACACCTTCAGATAAGTTCACCTCTTTATTTGACCTGTGTTTGAAAAAGACCACAAAAGCACAGACAAAAAATATAAACTAAACATTGAAAGACCCCATATAATCAGTCATTCTATGTAAGAAGTGGAACTTTTCATGAATCTATTTCAGCAGCACACACTTAATACATCAGCAATCCTCATCAGCAACCATCTTGGTGTCAAATTCTCCCAAATAAACTTTACATGCCACTAAATGAAAACAAAAAAATACTTCCAGCTCAAAGAAGGAGTGGCCTGTCTGTGCAGAGGCGGGGGGAACAGATACTGGTGCTTTTTTTTTTTTGCCAACGTGGCAAAACCCAGGAAGAGCAAGAGAAGGAGAGAGGGGAGGATATTTTAGTGAGTAGATCATCCTGTCTTCTCACATAATGCATCCCCTGTGTTATTGCTGGCAGGAAGACAATCCAGATGAGCGGAACATTTCAGCTGGCTGCACACACCTTTAACGTGAGCATCCAGGAACAGACGCCTGGGCTAATGAGATGGGAGACAGTCCACCAACGTGAATGGAGTTATGTGGACTGCTGAGGGTGATCTAAGCTGATATGATGCTGACAGATGATCTTTTCTCACTCCAACAGCTGCTGGGAATCGTTATACTGAATATAGAATTACATCTGGTCTCATGTCTAATTCAGTATTGTGTTTTTAAATAATACAAGGGATATTGCAGATGTCTAAAAAGCACTGCTCCCTCAAAGCATCAGTTCACCCAAATGTTAGTGTTTTTGTTTTTGTACATATGACATGCAGATCGTGTTGATTTCTTTCTCTATCTCAGTACCATGGAATTTATTATGTGCTACGTATAAAGCTCTAACAAAACAAAACTCAAAGCTACAGTAGATACAACAACCTCTCTATTATATAGTTTAGAATGGTGTGGTACAATAATACCGAACCCGGCAATTATGTAGTCGACACTTACTGTTTAACTGGGAAATGAACTCTCAGGGATTTTATTTATTTATTGATAAGCACTGAAATTGTCAGTGTTAGTTGCTGATACTATATGTATGGTTATATGGTATATTCCTGACTCCAGCCCCTCATGTTTTTCTTAGTATAATATGACCGTAAAGAGAATACTGAATGTGACGGGCTTTGTTTGGTGATGTTTTAAAGGACTCACTCAGGGTCCTGAAGGGCCTCTGCTGGGGCACCAAGGAGAAGAAACCGGGCTTCAGTGCATTTGTGATGATGACATCAAACAGCTCCTCGAAATCCTTCCTGTTGACAGCCAGAGAAAAAACATTAACCTCTGCGATATGACCCTGGTTGCTGCATGAAGGACAATGCCTGGACAACATCCAAAGACACATCGTTACATAAGCAGTTATAGCTCGGTGAAGCCAAATATTCTGCACAGATCTGATGGGAAGGTTGGCGCAATAAGCAGTGTACGCATAGGCCACTGCAGAAGGAATACTTAGACTGATAAAGTAAACACTTTGAGAGGGCAGTATACACTCCCACGGGGAGTTAGAATGAGCATTTAAGGAGCTGGATGGTGCCTCCAAGGAAACCATAGTATATAGGATATAAGAACCACTGTACGATCTTCCATATATGGTGTCTTATGTAACAGGAAGGACATTTTACTGGGAATGTATAAACATGTAAACTTATCATTTTGATGTATGACAATGTGAGTTTATAGTGAGCAGTTATGGTAGAGAGCAGAGGTTCTCAAACTGGGAGGCAGGCCTCGTCGGGGGGAGGACTAATACACACACACACTGGTGTATATAAAGTCCCCCTGTTTACATTGTGCCTTCAGCAGTTTACGACTTGTATTTACTAAAATGCTTATATAATACGAATAATTAAAGTAGTATGCTTTAAAGCTCCGGAAGATGGCTAATTACCTTGAAAATAACTTATCTGGTGTCCATCTGCTTACACCAGTTACACCAGGGCCACACTGCCTGCGTGAGACGGCTGCGCTGCAGATCTGCTGTGTGTCACAGTTGTCTGTTGTTCACAGGCAGTGTGTCTGCTGCAGAGTTACAATCAGAGGTTTCTGGTCTGAATACTGTATTATCTTGAATAAAAGTATGGTGATATACGCAACTAAATGCTAGGACTCCAGAGTATGGAGCCGTGCATATTCCGGTTCTGCAATGATTATAAAAATCCTCGTGAAACTAGATTCAGTCAACAGAATATGCTTTTACTTTGAAACAGGTACAGGAAGTGTCGTAGATATCTATGTCGTGACATATTCAACAGATAGACATTGAAAATGTTGAGAAAGATAACTGAACTGAACCGGGAGAAAATTGGCAAGGCGTCCATTCTCTTGAAGAGCATCTTGCATGAACTGCGCTGATCATGCAGGCAGTGTAAACCCTCATGCCAGATAACATGGGTGCCTAAATGAAAAGCAAGATGTTCTGCATAACACTCACGCAGCCAGTGTGGCCCATGCGTTAGCCATTTGCTTCCAGTCCAGAAGTTAAAGCGCTCTACTTTATAGCTGTAGCTGTGCAGCAAAGGAACTATTCTCTGAGTGGGTTTCTCTTAGTGCACCGCTTGCTTTGTATATCACTGACCTCCCTCTGCGCACACTGTGTGGTTTGTTGCCTCTGCCCTATACACACTTCAGGTCCTTGGGAAACCACAATATGTTCACTTGAAATAGCAAGACTTTTGAGTAACCATTACAGATCTAAAGGTATTTTAATGTGAAAATGTGTTTTCAGATACATTGATATGTGAATGCAGCCAAGTTGAAGCTAATTTTGCACAGATGGAAACGCTTTTAAATGATAAAAAGAAGTTCAACACATTAACATCTAACAAATCAATAAGCTCTGCAGCACTCCAGCAATACATGTGTTTATCCGGTCAGGACAAATAACAGCAGCTTCTACGAACGCGTGGTTGGCTGTCGGCAAGTAGTCTCCTGTCAGACAGCTCTGACCTTGTTATGCTACTTCTGACAGCTGACTGTCACTGGCCTGTAGCCGACTCACCACACTGAAGCCGCTGAGGGCAAAGGCTTCGTCTGGAAGAGGAGGGACCGTGTAGTGAGGCAGAAGAGGCTGTCTCGATAGTGAAGTGCTAATGCGACGCACAATGACAGAGAGATTTTGGTTCTGTGTTGACTGAACTTAATTATTGTAATATTTAGCATTAATTATATTCCTCGAGGTAGGAACACTTCACATATAGATAAGACAGGAAAAGCCAAAATACTCCACAAACCACATGTGACAAGATGAAGCCGGCCTAATCTTTGAAAGTCACAGCATAAATCTGCCTCCCCTGACCTTGTAAAGCAGTCATTTGAACATGATTTGGGGCACATACACTCATGCACAGCTGGGACTCTAGCTGCTCTCTTGGGGAGGCGTTGCATGCTGTGGTGTTGGGAGGTCATGGACGTGAGAGGGGAAGGGGCAGCCACTGAAACAGCAGGCGAGCAGGGGAAAGGGGTGAGGAACTACAGGAATGACCAGGCTGATCGCTGCCGAACAGGAAATCATGAGCGGGGGGGGGGGGGGGGGGGGCGTGCGTGGGCCACAGAGGCCACATGAAACAAACTGGCATCCAGAGCAAAGCGGCCTTAAGTCGACCTGCAATTTGGCCGTACAAAGAACAATCAGCTCACAGCGTGGAAAGTGAAAAAGCAGACCACCTCACTGGGCGAGCGCAATATAAGACAACAGCACCTCCCAAAGAATGAGAGAGGCTTATGTTAGTTCAATCACAGCAGCAACATGGACACTGTGTTTTTTCAAGGCCCTCTTGCTGCTTGATCGAGGGCATAACAGAGCTTAGGCTAGAAAAATAAGCCTACACCACACAGGGTGCGGCGCAGACAGACGGTGATCAGTGATACACAAAGCCAGTGTTGAACCACAAAAAGCCCACTAAGAGAATAATCCCTTTGCTGCACACCTACAGTTATAAACTTAAGTGCTGAGTGTTACTTCTGGACTGGTAACAAATGGCTAAGTGTGAGGAGACGATTCCACTTTTCACCTACCTTGCCAAATATGGACATTTGACTCAGTAAAACTAATGAAGTCCAACTGCTCGTTGGTTCTTTGTATTTAGGTTTTAAACTTCCATGGATTCTTCTGTGGCAACATGTTGACACCAGAGCAAGCCACAAACACACCATAAAGCAATGTTAGCATTAATCTGGATTCATGTTCTTATACTCGCCGAAAAAAAAAAAATATTAGTCCAATATTCACTCACGTATCACTTTTAGCTAATTTTTGGTCGCCCTGAGGCAAATAAGTTGCTGCTTAATGACTCATTACATGTACCTCTGAGACTACTTAGTACGTTTTACTAGAATTTAAAAACTAGACAGCTCAAAAGATGAAAACCACTTCCCTTTTAAGGTATTGACAGGAAAATGGGTAAGAATGACATTTAATACTCAATGAAAACTGGATTGTGCAGCTATAATTACGCACATGAATGTGTTTACAAGGTGCAGACATACTCTAAGCCTATTAGAGTGGAGCCATTGTTGACGCCACTGGGAGAAAACCAAATAAGGGATCCAACATATGATGCCTCTAAGTTGTTATTCATGATGTGTAAGCAAATGTAAAATAGGCTTGTGTGCCCAGTGTCCACGGAACCATATGTGCTCTGGGACTGGGCTCAATCATAGTTTGTTTTTTTTAAAGAGGGGCTGGGGCAGCATTCACTCTCCATTCTGTGAATGACCATCTGAGGTGCATTGTTGTTTTAGCTGGTTTTCTATCCCCCTCCATGTTTGCCTTCGTAGCCTCCTCTCAAATTCGGGCTCTTCAATTTCCACTAGCTGGCAAAAGCTACCAACACCTACTGGAAGAAACAAAAGCAGTATAACTGGAGAGTGAAGGCGGGGGAGGAACAAATCTAAGTGCAGGTGATCCCATTCATTTATAGCTAATGTGCAGTCAATATTTGCTTCATAATGTAGAGTTAAAGCAAAAAAACTAGTCTTTTTTCAATTTAAATGTAAAAACGTCTGTTTTATTGAATAAAGGCACAGCGTGAACAAAAAATGGAATCTATAACACAATAAAGTGTGAAAAAAGTTAATACTTTGAATACTTTGTGGAGCCAATGTTTATGTGTATAGTGCATACTGTATGTGATGATGATGGTAATTCAAGGTGGACATAAGAGCCACCTTTGACTTTGAAAGGAATGACTAATAGCCTGCAGGGGCTGTAAGGAATGTTGTGAGTCGAGGGAGAAGGAAAACCTCCCAGCTTGGCTGGAGCAGACTTCCGGGTTATAAATCCTATGGGGGCTGTTATGGTGAGCACTGCAGACTGGGTCCTGGCCTTATAAAGGAGGGGGCCAGTCTGTGGTTCCAGTGTGGGCAGTCTTACCCCAGGATGTGTTCACAGATGAGCCTGCAGTAGTCGCTGTGAGAGCTGGTGATGAGGAGGAGGACCTTCCCGGCTTTTTTCATGCTGTGCAGCCAGGTCTTGACAGAGTCAGAGCAGGGCTGCAGGTATCGGCCTGGGTCCCTCTTCACACTGGGGAAGTAAGTCCCTGCGTCCTCTGTGCAGAGACACAGAGAGATACAGTTAGACAACCAGATTTGATCTTAAACATGCATTTAAATTGGCACAGTGGGGACCATCATGCTCTGCGACATGAAATTGATCAAATGATATGGCCATCACATTCATTCAAGCTCTCACCCCATTTGAAAACCAGGGGGAGATTATGATTAACAGTTTGTTAGACTTCTCTCTCTGTCACAAACATCAAAACACCAACTTGGTGAGTATCTTTTAAGAGAATGCTGTTAATTCCTAAACTAGATTTCCCATACTGAAGCTGTTTTTTGACTCTTCAAATCTGATGAGTTCATCCTCGAGTATACGAGAACATCTGAAAGGATTCTTTGAAGGATTGCTTAAGACAACACTTTCAAGAGGCAAAACATTAGTTTTGTAGGTTGTCCTTCAGACTGTTTACGCACGTTTGTGCCAAGGTCTGTACCGAATTTTGAGGAAATTCCCTGAAGGTGTGTCTGAGATGTTGCTTTCATTAGTAGATTGGTACATGTCTCTGAGTATCTACAGGCGGGAAACCGATGTATAGCTCGTGTTTTATTTACATTTTTTAACATACTTTTTGTGGAGTTCTGCCTACATTCTGCACATTTGTATTCACAGAGGTAAAAGGGGAGCTCAAGGTTCATGTTCCCCACTTCTGAGGCAACATCAGTGGGCTCTCCCCACTTTGAATCTCCATCCCACACCCTAACCCCCGGCTGCCCTTCAGTACATCCTGTCAGCAGAGTGCACACAGCTAAATATGGCAAAGCTCTCCTGCACTCTCCTGTTACATAATCCCAGTCCATCACAGAACATCCTGAACCTCAGCTTCTCAGCTGAATGTAACTCCATGGATAAAACACGACCTATGTGCAAATATAAGTACTTGATGCTGATTGGCAATATACATGTAATGTAATACTAAGTTATAAAATGGTGTGTTTTTATCTTGGTACTGAGAGGACAATTCAGTGACAATGAAAAGCACTACACTCTCCTTTGCTATGTGTAGCATGATATAGGGATTTTAAGTATAGAATTATATTTGGATAAAATCCTGATACATGCGCAACCATATCAAAACACGAACAAAGCGACAAAACATTGCATTTGCTCCCAAAAATAAGTTTTGCATTACTTATTTTCATGATTTGAAATCAACCGATGACTTGTGTTGGATTTCATTCTCTTTCCCAATTGTTGAAAAGAGGGCTAACAAAAACAGGGCAGGGTGAGGATGAGTGGTGTGTACTCAGCAGAACATGTGTCTCAGAAGCGTCAATGTGCTTTCAGTGCCATATGCACACACATAGGCTGCAGTATTCATTTCAACACACATTAGAACACACATTGGTACTGTTGCTACTGAAGTCGTTTGAGCAATATAATCTAAACACTAAACAGACACCAGAAATAGTTATGGAGGCAGCAAATCAACAGCTGCAATTAAGCTTTGGCAATCTACTGTTGAACATATCTGAATGACCATTTCTGTGCTGTGCCAGATGATGTCACACATCTTCTCGTTGACTAAAATTGCTTTTTTTGCTGGAACTCTCTGGTTTGGCATTTTTTCCATGCAGGGCTGAAGTCAGTGTGAAATGGCCATTAGGGGAAATCTGCAGATATCAGCCTCCTGTTTATAAATCCATGTTGGAGATGTCTTTATATTTTGGAAGCATAGATTTCCATTTGGACAGAAGCTTCAGTTTAGTCACAATGTCAAGGGAAAGCTGGTCTGAAATTTGATTTGAAGTCAACCGATGACTTGTGTTGGCTTTAATTCTCTTGTCTCTTTCCCAATTGTTCAAGCAGAGACAAAATAAACATCCTTTAAAGACGAGATCGAGCGATTGGACCTATATGGGCTGATTGTCCATTAGTGGGATAATAGCTTGAAGCACCTGTTTAAAGCTTTAAGTATTTTTAGGGTGGATTGAAAAGAAATGAATAGAAAAAGACTTTCAGTCTTCTTTTTCCTTCTTTTTAACAGTGTCAACCTATTTATTTAATTTGAAATCAAAACCGATCAGCACAGATCCTTGTCTTCTTTGACACAGCCACATTTCAACTCCTCAGTTCTTGTACATAAGTCTAAAATGTGGAGGATGGACTCAAGCAGCTCATGAATATCCTGCAGCAGGAGTTTGAAAAGTGAGGGCATGGTGCCCTCCGGTGGTAGAACACAGGACTCTCTTGAGGACGAAAAAAGCTCCTGGAGGTTCTCAAGATGCAGTAGAAGGTTCCAACCTGAAGATGACGACAAACACAGGCAGCCACAGGCTTAGATTCATTTCAGGAGCCCAGAATTCACACATTTGAAATTATCCCAGATGTAAACATCTTGGTCTGCCATAACACAAACTTCTTATAAAGTTAATTGTGTTGACAGACCATTACAGCTTCAGTTAAACAGAATGGGCAGGTCATGAGGACCAACGTTGCCCACTCAGTGTGAGTCCTCTGGGACCCTACCATCCTTCCTCATTACCCAGTGCCAGGCAGGTCATCTGAGGGAGGGCAAGAGAGCTCCCCTGACAGCTAAATCCCAGCAGTTATGTGTGAGAGGATAAACAACTGACCTCATCATCATTCTTTGTGCAACGTTGCAAACGATCAGATGGCGTGCAGCAGAAACACAGAGCAGAAGCTGTTTTATTCCACCAGGAATATTTACCACCCAAGTACACAGCTGACACAAGATCCAGGGAATGGTCATGTTGATTAAAACACCATCATGGAACTAGAGGCCAAACAATCCGCCTCATGACACCAGAATTGAATTCACCAGAAGCAGATTTTTATTTGCATTTACACCCAGTTGTTCACACTCACATCAATCAATCAATCACATTTTATTTGTATAGCCCATATTCAAAAATAACAATTTGTCTCACAGGGCTCACAATAATATCATTCCCATAAACATGCCAGATTTTTTTCATTAAGGTCCAGGAATTATGTCGAAAACACCGTTTATCTCATAATGTGGAAGAAAGTGAAAACAATATTCCTGTGTCCAACCACTGATCTGGATCCACACCAAAATGTCATAGTTCTTAGTAGATTGGCCACCACAACAATGTGTGAAGTAGATTTGAGTAGCTTTCTGCATAATCCTTCTACCTAACACACAAATAAACAAACAAACGGACTAAAACAATGAATGAAATTCAATTTTATTTGTAAAGCGCGAGGGTCACAATTTATTTTTTTCGTGTAATCCATTGTGTTTGAAAATGTGTGTAACTTCCCAAATCTCTACTTCAACAAAACCCCAAGTGGGTTGTCATCTGTGTGTTTGTTAGCAGGGATATGCAAAAACTGCTGAATGTACGGGTCAGAAAAGAATCTTGACATTTTTGTGCCGATCCAGAAATGTGAGTGTGTGCAATTAAGTGCACATCCAAATAAAAATCTGGATGTAGTGAATTTAAATGTGGTTTGTTAAAATGCTGTACATTTAAGTTGTTTTGAATTATAACTGGGGGCGGTTGTATCACAGGGTTAAGAGTGGGTCGTCCTCTAACCAGAAGGTTGTTGGTTCAATTCCAGTCTTCCCCTTCCAAATACTGAAGTGTCCTTGGGCAAACCCAAAATCGCCCCTGACGGCTATGCACTGTATAAATGTGTGTGAGTGAATGTGCTGTAAAGTGCTCCCAGTGGTCATCTAGACTAGAAAAGTGCTGTATAAATACAGACCACTTACATTCACTTTTCAAAGGCAAACAGCTACAGTAACTTAAGTATAATATTATCAATGCCAACAAATGAATACATTTCAAAATTCTTTAAAACCAGAAAAGGGCGTATGGCTAGGCATGCCCTCAAGCAGCAGGTCCTGCTCATGCACCATATACTGTACGTCACTCCCCTCCTCTCTCCCTGTGTCTCCTGTCTCTCTGTCACTTTCCAATAAAAACAAAAGGCCAATAAAAGTAAATAGAAAAAAAAACACAAGCTCAAATTCTAGTAGTAAACAGCTGCAGCGTGTGTTGTAGTAGATACTTGTTTATTTTGGCAGGATAGAATATCCAGAGGAACAGGAGCCGCTTCTTAACCCTCAAAGAGAGATTGCATTGAGCCACAGAATCTGGCGGAATAGTGAGCAGGCATAAACCGATGCCCTGCCTTTGGATCTCTGTGTGCATTCAGATTCAGATTCAACTATTTGCATAGCAGCAGGTGGTTTAACTGTGTAACACTTGATGGAGATCAGTGCCTCTGCTTCTCTGTGATTAGTTTCTTCCTGCATAACTGTCATCTCTCTGGCATTAGTGAGGGTAGAGAGGCCAGATTAATACTGCTGTGTAATGTGTGATCAATCCACAAGTACAAAAGAGATGAACATATTTAAAACGCTGCTTTGGTCATTACCAGTGCCAGCTGACTACAGGATTTGTGTGTCTTTGTGTGCGTCGTGGATTAAATGCGTCTCTGGCTGTGAATTTAAGACTCAAGTGCCCCAAGGGCCTGCAGGCCTGTGGCTGGGCACTGTGCCGTGCATGCTGGGCGCCGGGCCTGGACGGCTGGAGAGCTGCCTAGCGTCAGAGAGAGAACCGCGACGAGCAGCAGCTCCATCGCTCACACACATCAAAGCACCCTGACAGGATACACAAATCAACAGTTGCAGTGCAAATTAGGGCCAAGCCCGGCAGCGTTTCACAAACAGCCACACCAAAAGTGATGAGGGGGCAGAAATCAAAGTCACGTTCGTTTTCTTTATCGCCAAGTTAATCAGCAAGGGAGATAAAGGCTATCATAACAATATGAAGAAAGTCGCATTTATCCATTTTCTCATTATATTTAATGTGCATCAAGCCCACACAAGGCACATGGAGATGATCTCTAAAGGAAAGCTATAATCTTGGGTGTTTTGTCTTAAAAAGGCATCCAGACAGACAATGTTTTCCAGCACCTGTTGGAACCACGTGGAAAACACTGGCCAGGCCATTTTATCTGTGGACTTTCCATTTTTAGCAGACTGACCTCAAA